ACGGCCGCTTGAAAACGAGTCTCTATGGCTAACATCACGTTTCTCTACACTTTTATCAAAACGTTTCTGTGTAAGTTCGATACATTGAGTTACAGGTCTCCGTATCTAGTTGTCTTTCCGTTTCTATAGAGATTCTAAATATTCGGCTACAAACCTTGCCACCGGATGGTCTTTCCGCCTTCTTGCCTTTTTTAAGGAAGTACCACACTGCCGACTACAGGTCTTGCGATCTGGTCCCCTTTCTGCTTCCTTACCTTTTTTGTAAAAGTCGATGTGTTCAGCTGCAAGCCTTGCTATCCGGTTGGTTTTTCCCCTCCATGGAAATACTGCACGTTTGGCTATAAGTATTGCTATCTGGCTGCCTTTTCGTCTCCTTACCCCTTTCGTAGAAGATCGATATGTCGTACTATAAGTCTTGCTATCTGATTGTCTTTCCGCTTCCATACCCTTTTTATAGAAGTTCGATACTTACACCTACACGTCTTGGTATCCAGTTGTCTTTCCCTCTCCGCAGAAGTGCTACATGTACATGTACTAAGTGTTGCTGTCTGGTTGCCTTTTCGCCTCCTTACCCATTTCGTTCTGTACGTCGTACGTCGTCTTCCTATCTGGTTGTCTTTTCGTACCCTTACCTTGCTTCTTCGTTCTTGTATTACCCGCGGGCCATTCGATCCAACTAATCCTTTTAAAAATTTGAAAATTAACTCTACCTATGAATTCTTAACGCAAATCCACGCATCGATTTTTGAAAGTGGTTTAATTCGTTCCATTAGCGAAAAAGTTGAACAAATGTCGCCCATTGCAAAGGCATAAACGTCATGGTAATCTTGCGTAATCTTGTGTATTAGCTCTTTGAGGAGCGTAAGACTTCTTTTCGGATGCCTGTACTCTCTTTTTTGAAAAGTGTACCCCCTTTCTAAAAGCTTTCTATTTCCTTTTTACTGCTTTGCTGTAACTTTTTTAGGAACGCAAGAAATTGACAAAAGTAAAAAGTGCGTGATGTAAGAAAGACTTAATCAATATTGAAAGTTCAGATATGCATGACAGTTAAAGGAAATTACTTAAATTTTATTGCGACTGAAAGCGCAAATTTTCACCATCTTGCTTAATTGTAATACGATGACTGCAAGATGGCCGTACGATATCTGCTCAAAGCAGAATATTGGTTTCTTATTTGTATTTTTGCTGCTTTTGGTATTTTATTCAGTTGCTATTTTTTACTTTCTCTCTCGTTCGCTCTTCTTTTCATTTCTTTCCCGCGCACGGTATATAACGTTCCTCGTATGCATTGTCTACATTAGGATGAACAAATGTTTCGTGTGCATGCATTTGATTTTCTGTCAATTTTTTGCTTTGGTCAGTCCAATCTACTGTACTATCACTACAACGCTAAGTGGTTGGTTGAATTGGACTAAAGCAGTCAACTAGTCGGTCATTATTTATTGCGCTGGACAGTGTGGTATTGGTTTGGTTTGCTTAGGTCCCACGTACATGTTCATTCATGTTTATTTGCACGAGTTGTGCTTTTCACAGACACGAGTTTATGCCCTTAAGTGGATTATAAAAAATTGATTTTTTTTTTTCATTTTGTTGATTATTTTCTTAAAATGACATTTTTCTAAAATGAAAATAACAAACATGTCAAAATTGTTTGTTGTGAACTATGATCGAAATACGAAATGCTCACGAGATTTATTGTCACAGATGTAATCGAATATGCATGTACATATGAGTAAACGCTATTTAATCGGTATATGATGAAGTGTGTGGAGCCAACAAATATATGCACAACGAAACTAATCGATGTGGCAACAAGTGATTCTACATGGAATGCTAAGTTGTATTTCGTACGTTATTAATAAACTTGTTAAAGATTCACAAATGAGTCCTTCAATTATTCAAAAGAGCTAAACTAACATTATCCGTTTGGTTCACTTATGTTTGGGAATAATTTTCTAAAAAAATTAATAGAAAAAAAAAAAAAAATGGGTAAATGGTATCACACAGTTATGACGATTGTGACATTTAAGAAAATAATATTTAGCATTTACCTAACCTTGACATACAATAAATGCTTTAGCTTGTCCAACGATATCAATCGCTTAACATGTCGTTACTTCTATTCTACCTTAACATGTACAAAATTAATTACTTAAATAATTAATGTGATTACTTTTGCAAATAAGTGAAAAGAAGTTCTACAGCAGGCTAGGGCAAGTATTGGCCCGAGGATAAGTCGCTACGCTATTCAATTGATAGAAAAAGAATAAAGGTCGTGGCGCTTGCACAAGAAAATTCAAACATACTTTTCTTATACGTTAAGGAAACTTTATTGAGTCGAATGTATATCGTTTTCATCGGTAATCTCTTTCCTATTTTTCTGGCAAAGGCATTGTGAAGCCGTTGCTTTCGGAATATTTAGGCGGAAAAGTGAATCAACTGATATTCACTTAAGAGAGTTTTGCAAAAATTATAACAAATCGCACCCAGGCAGACCAAGGTGCAGGCACTACAACTTCTACCTGAAGTTCTCTCAATCACTCAAAGGTATGCATGGTCTTCCACTGTCGGGATGGAAGACGAAGCTTCTCTTCCTGATCATCTTTGCACAATTTACTTTATTTATGCACTTTAATCGCGACTAAAAACGACTATTTTTATAAGTCGCAATGTTTTTCTTTTATTTCTTAATCATCTATAGACCGTCTCATCTTACAAGCGCTATCCTATGGCTTGATAGGGGCAGTATTGTTAAAGTTACGCTACTGTAGATCTATCTATTGGGATAAACATCACTCTCGATAGGGCTCTTAAAATCCTTAAATATTTTTGGACGCTGTATAAATTCCCGCTGTTCTCCAAGCGGCAGCTAAACTCACTCTATAAACGATGGAGTAAAACTTCTCCCTCTAAAAGCAATGTCCTTTACTTTTCTCCCTACAGTATAGTTTTCGGGAGCTTTGGGTCGTTTGTTGGATCGTAATGGGTGGTGAAGGGTCACGAATGCCTTGCGAAGTCTCAATTGCAAAAACTCATTACCTGTTAATATCGTCAATAAAACTAATTAGAGTCACCGCTTGATCGAGGAGATTAGCATAAGGGATACTTAAGTTTAGCGCGTTATGTGTTGTAAAATAGATTTATAGCTAAGGAATGACTTTATTGTTTAATATATTTTTATTTAAGTTTAACACGTTTGTCTTACTGCGCTTCGCTTCCCCATCTGTATCCCATATCAAACTACTTGTTAACGATTATAACAGTTTCTTCATTTCATATGAATAACTAAACCGAGGATGATGTCTGCTGTGATAGCTTAATGTATGAGACATTCGGCTTTTGTAAAACTTTCCCAAGCGAAGTTTGAGAAGCTTTTCGGTTGAGATGTCAACTTCATTGTCGCCAAAGGTCCGCCTCTCGTTGACCTTTAGATGTACAATTAATTATGAGTCGACTTGTTACGATGATGGGGCTTGCACTAAGGGATGAGACGTGTTTTTAAAAAGCGAACACGCTTATGCGTCCATCGCGCGTTTCTTTCTGCTTTCAGACGTCTTTTTGCAAATACTTAGATACTTAGACTAATTTACGATTTTCAACAGTTTCCGTCTTAAATATTGGCATTTACTTGTTTATCATTTGTTGTTGTTTGGTAGAATTTTTTTGCTAAATTAATGAAAGACGTGCGTGCTTCGCCAGCCAATAATGATTCAAAGTTTATATGTTTTTTAAACTTTCCAAATTTAAGTTTGCCAAGGTATAGATTTAACACAGGAGCTACCGACTTTTAGCTTTGCTACCAAAATGGCGTAATTTGGTCAAAAAGACGCCACAGGCGCAGAAATGGAAATAAGCATAGTGCCAATTAAATTTGGCACAGACTTTATTCTAACGCACATTAGCGCTTTCTTCACCCAATTGCAAATAAGTTGGAATTAAAATGTTATCGTCAATTGTGAATGTGTCGGGATCATTTCTAGCTGGGCGGTCTTGGCGAACGTGGGTAGAACACAGTTTTCCGAAAATGCCCTCACGGGATCGAAAGTTATGTAGCGAAATATGGAAAAATTGTCAATATTTTTTCGAGTATGTCTGAATTTCTACCTTATTTTGGGAGATCAGTTTTTTTAACCGCAAACCGTTGCGGAAAATTTTATCTTCCTGTCTCCATTTTTGCGTCCGCGACTATTCTACAAAAATTATCAGTCAGATCCACTCATTTTGATAGCAATGGCTATATATCATCGGGCCTACGAAAAGTAGGGCAGGTCTGCTCATTTAAAAATTGGAAGCTGAAAGTTGGAAAAGGTAAGATTAGCCCGGGTGGTAGTTCTAGTGTTAGTATACCTTTGAAAGTGGGATTTTTAGTACCAAAGCAAAGGACCGCTCTACTTAATAATTAAGTTGAAATTCAAATGTTAATAGTGGAATCCATAAACCTGCCCATCGTATCGGCATTAAAGTGGATTTTCAAGTCCAAGCCTCTAGATAGATTAGTGATATGATTAATATGTTTTCTGTGTACATCACGCATATGATGTTTACGAAAGGAAACTCAGGAGACTGAGAATGAGTGCACATGACCTAGTGGCAGAAAAAACGGATTGTAGGGTAGATTTTGAAATTTAAGTAAAGGAAAGTATTTTTTTTTTTTTTTAAA